ACAAAATTTTGATTCAGAAAAATTTGATACACGATTTTGTGCATTTTGTAAAGGAATAGGTGATGGTTTGAGTCACCAAGAAGCTCGTTTGCTGTATTGTGGACAAAACGAATGGGTTCACGCAAATTGTGCCCTTTGGTCTTCAGAAGTATATGAAGAAATAGATGGTTCACTACAAAATGTTCATAGTGCTTTATCAAGAGGCCGCTCTATTAGATGCACCTATTGTAAGTTAAAAGGGGCAAGTATTGGATGCTGTGCAAAAAGTTGTTATGAAACCTTCCATTTCTCTTGTGCCCGAACCATGAAGTGCAATTTTATGCATGATAAGACTGTTTATTGTCCTTCTCATGACCTTCCAGTTAATAGTACTGTAATCTCATCTTTAGCTGATTTTGATATTCGACGATCTGTGTACATAGAATTAGATAAAAAGAAGAAGAAACTAGTGGATCCTGAAAAGGTTCATACAATTGTGGGATCTCTTACAATCACTAGCTTGGGTAAAGTTATACCTGTATTATCAGATACTCCCGACGCCATTATTCCAACAGGGTTTGTATGCTCACGTCTTTTTTGGTCAACAGTGGAGCCGTGGAAACTTGTACCATATGTTATTAAGACGTCTGTGCTGAATTCACAGATAAATAGCATTATTGTTGATAAAAACTTCACTGTTAATCATTCGTTGCCTAAATCTGTGGTTGAGAAAAAATTAAAAGAGATTTTAGTTTGGCAAAAGGATTTAGAAAAAGAAAAAATTGACGCAGTTGATTTGGAAGATGAAGATGAACCTCAAAATGCCACTGATATTCTTTCCCCTGAACTCACTGATGCCATATTAGAGGAGTTGCCACGAGATCTTTTGGACGGTATATCAATGCAAGATATATTTCCTAAATTTGTGTCATATGAAGAATTCGTTAATGTGGACTTCAAAAATCCTGATACACAAAATAGCAATGATGGTATTAAAATAGATGCCATTAATAATTTAAACGACTCTTTTAAAAAAATTCCTGAAATTGATGAAAAAGAACAACTACAAGATGACTTTTGCGACTTAAAGAACCGAGAACTAAAGCGTAGTAAGTCTGAAGTTTTTCCTCAACTTGGAGTAGAAAAAGTATCGAAATCAAGAAGTCAACAGCGATCTTGCAGCTTAACATGGAGTTGTAAGTTAGATACATCTCTTTCTCCTTTAGTAAAGAAACGTAAAATGGTACCTCGGGACAAAAATGTATTTTTCCAACTGTTACAAGTAGATGGAGCGTATGATTCTAGTAGCGCAAGCGAATGTGGTTCACCACGTCGTGAAACTGAAGATTTATGGTCTCCAAACATTTGTGATGAACCTGTTAAATGTCAAAGATGCCAGTGTACCTACAGAACACAGGCTAGTTACAAGAGGCACCTGGAAAGTTGTGAAATAATAACAAGCGATAGCGATTCAGAAACGGTTCACGAGCAAGATTTTAATTCATCTGAACAATCAATTCAAGCAGTAGCTGATGCCGTTGCATCAATTACAGATGTAACAACAAATAGCGATACTGATGTGGAATTAAAAGTCGGTGAAGTCTCGAGGACCTATGGAATGAATTCTTATGAAGAATTCAGTGCTTATCACCTAAACGAAAATAACGAATGTAAAACACAGTCTACAGTTGTTGCAGATACATCAGCATTGCCTTCTACATCTAATCACGCTGAGATACTGTATTCAAACGTTCTTCAGCCTGCTCCAATTCAAGAGAAGTCAGTTCAAAACTTTTATACCGTTCCAACTCAAAATTTTAATCAAGTTGTCTCTACACCTCAGACCCAAACTGTTACTCTGACCCAAAGTTCAAGTCCGTCATTTTTCGATGGGCATCAAACTGTATCTATTAATAGTAACCATAATTCCAGTATCACACAGGCCAGTGCAATTCCCCTAAATCAAATCACTACTGTACCTTTGACCACTCAAACTACACCAATTTGTATTAATCAACCTAGTACTGTTCCACTTTGTCTGAACCAGACTACAAATACCGCCGGTTCTATTTCAGTTGTTCAGTCTTCACCCATTGCTGTAAATCATCCTACACCAATAACTTTAAATCAACCTGGTGTAATATCTATTGGACAACAATCAATTCCTCTAAGCAGCAATCCAAGTTCTATCCAAATCAATCCACCCATTGAAATTCAGTCCCAGCAAGTCACAATTCAGTCTGTGCCAGTGAATCAAGAAGTAAATCAGGTACTCAATATTCCCCAACAAAATCCAATAACCATTGACACAAAGATGCTAGCTACACCCTCTGTAGTCAATCCTGGAATTGTACCTGGCCAGTGGATGAAGTCAATACCTAAACCAGTTCCAGTTCCAAAACCTATTAGAGCAAAGTGTCGTCCAAGAACGTTAGCAGCTAAAAGAACTAAAATAGCACCTGGCAGTACAATAGTTCTTCCTCAAACCAGCTCTGGACCACAAGTAATAGTGCAGCACATTGCATCTCCTAATATGATGCCCGCATTTTTAGAAACTTTTCAACACCAGACAGGACAAAATCTACAGTATGTAGCAACCATTAGCCCTCAAATTACTCAGGCTGTTAATTCACAACCACAGATAGTTCAGTTACAGCCTGACAATAACATTGTAGGTTTAGTGCCTGGTCTGCAACAACCTACCATGATAATTCAACAACCAAGAGTCGTTACAGATCAACTTATTATTGATCAAAACGGTTCAGTTATGTGGGCATCTCAACCAGTTCAGCCGGTCTATTATGGGTTTGAAACTATTGTACAGAATACCGTTATGCAATCTCAACAGTTCCTTCCAACTACAGTACCTGGTATTTTAACAGCAAATAGCAGTTATTCATCAACAACCCAAGTGTTTCAAACTAGTAAATTAGAGCCGCTATTGGACGTATCTTCTGGGAGCTTTGTGGTGCTAAATCCAAATACGGTAATTAATAATGGACAATCTTTGCCAGTAGCACAAATACCTCAAGCACCTCCTCCACAACCAATTCAGAATAATATGCAAAGCCAACAAGTGTCAGTTCGGCCGCCTGTTCCTCCAGAAATCAAGATCAATATTGCAAAACCTGTTGAAGTTACTACCCCAGCTATACCAGTTACTACTCTCAAATCAGCGGTTACAACAACTACAACTACAATAACTACCGCAGCAAACGCACATTCTACATCCAGTAATACCTACAACAGCATCACATTGCCTGTTGCACCTTTTGTGCCCGAGCAAAGAATTCCTACAAATATTGTTACACCTACTCCTAAAGTTTCTACATCCAATCAAAATCGACCCATGAGTAGAGTTCTTCCAATGCAGACCACGTCGGTTCGTGACACAAAAAAGATTGCAAACATGGCAGACAAACCCCACGAAATTATTATAAAAACTGAACAACCTACTAATATTTCGGAGGAAATATTGAAAGCAAAGAAAAGTATAATTGTAGAAGAGGAATTAATAAAACCAAAAACAAAAGAAATCATGATTCAAACGGTGGAGGCTCTAAATAAAAACCAAGGGATTCCCTTATCTATAAAATCTACTCTTGAAAAATCAAAAGAAGAACCGCAGCAGAGAAAAGTAACCGAAAGTACCAATCAGAAGAATTATTCGGTTCAAATTATTTCTCTTAAGGCAGTGAAACCGAAAGCAGCATCACAATCTCCATCCATATCCTTATCAACATCAGTATCACCAACTAAAACAATTACTGCTTTCGCTGAGACACCGTTTACGTCGGCAAAAGAAATTCATGATCCCGGTATGCCTAAAAACAATGTTAATAAACAGCCAGCAGTTAAGTCTGAACCAAAAGTGCACAATGAGAAAGTAGAAAGTAGTTCTAATCCAGGAATATTATATACTGTAGAAACTAGAGATGGTTTTCGTTATTCTTCCAACTCGGTTTCTGATCTTTGGTCGAAAGTTTTTGAAGCGGTTCAAGCTGCCAGAATCGCTCATAATATGGCTCCTTTGCCATCGAATGGATTAAACCTGATAAACAATTTACAATTGCTTGGTTTAAAAGCAAACAGCTTACGCTATCTTTTAGAACAACTTCCTGGGGCATCAAAATGTGTAAAATATAAACCTAATTTTAATTTTAATACAGCTCATAGTTCTGTCGATGATGATATACTCATAGGACAATCTTATGGGGCTATTAGATGTGCTCCTTACAATAAAAGGCACGAAACAAATGATATGTTTGGATGGTTAGCATCGAAACATAGAAAATTAGAAGACCACACTACACTAAACGAGATTCAGCCTAGGTATGTTATTTAAAAGTTTTGTTTTTTTATCTGTAAAAAGAATGTAACTAAATTATTATTTCGTTTTGTTTTATATTATGATAATAATAATAATGATAAGTTCATTTTATTTTACTCTTTATTCATAATTTTAAAAGAATCATCTTTTTATTAATGATAAAAAAAGTTATATTGATATTTATTTTATTTTTGTTCTTTTAATAAAATATGTTTCTAATATCTTACAGTAGCATTTTATTTAGGAGAAGTTCGGTCACGAATCTTCCCATGGCAATGAGATTCAGGCAGCTTCGACTATCTTCAAAAATCTCTGTTGGCGTCTATAGATCAAGTATACACCGAAGAGGACTTTTTTGCTTAAGAGACATCGAAAGTGGAGAGATGGTTATTGAATATGCGGGAGAGGTAGTTTAACTTTTCTTTTTTTAACTTATTATTACACGAAAAGCTTCATAGAAGTGTGAATAAAATTGTAATTATTTTTCTTTTTCTTTAGGTAATTAGATCTGTGCTTACTGATAAGAGAGAAAAACATTACAACTCAAAGGGGATTGGATGCTACATGTTCAGGATCGATGATAACTTGGTTGTTGATGCAACCATGAAAGGAAATGCTGCCAGATTTATAAACCACTCATGTGATGTAAGTCGAATAATTTATATATATTCTAATTTATAAAGTAACAATAATTAATGAAGAATACGGTTAATACTTAAATCACTTAATAAGGTCATCGTAACGGTAATATATTAGGTCAATTTTCGAATTTGATAATCAAATTCTATTGAAGATATCCCAAATAAATAACACAAATGCAGAATTTTATTTTAAAGTAGCTTATTTTTTTTTTCTTTTAGCCTAATTGTTATTCCAAAGTGGTAGAAATATTAGGCCACAAGCACATAATTATTTTTGCTCTCAGGAAAATATTTTGTGGCGAAGAATTAACTTATGATTATAAATTTCCTTTCGAAGAAGATAAAATACCCTGTACATGTGGCGCACGTAGGTGCCGTAAATTTCTTAACTGATACTGTAGAATTATCCCCGTTTTGTATTTGTTTGTATGTATATTGATTCACGAAATTTTTTATATTGTATATAACGAACTTGTAGCACATATTGTAGTCAAAACCAATGGAATACTAGAAGGAAATGCATTAATTATAGCGCGTAAGTTTTGTATAATAACAGTATTCGGGAAAAAAAATTGTCAATTTGGCTGTGAGAAACGCATTTGTGCCATTGGCTCAATAGGTGCTACACCGTGTAAAAATATAAAATTTTAATATAAAACTTCTTGTGATACTTTTAATGTTATAATTTTGCTAGTTTTTTAAATAAATGTGTTTGTACGAGGTCTGTAATTATAAATATTTATATGTAGATTGAAATGTATTTTTTGCAAAATTTATAAGTATCGATTTAAATACATACATTACATAGACTGTGTTATTATACATACAATATACATCACATAACGTATGTAATTCTCGTATTATTATAAATTGATCCATCGAATTTTATTGAACATAGGCAAGTCTAATTAGGAATTTGCATTTGGGAAACAACGATTTATTGTTGTTTTTATTATTACTGTAATTATTATTATTACGATTATATCCTTATCGTTAGAAACATTTTTATTATGTATTAAATAAACCCGAAAACAAGGCACTCACACAAGTAAAACATTGATAACTGGCTTTACAGAGGTTTAGTATACCAATAACGGGGTGCTTTTAAACGAATGTAACTTTATTAATATTAATAGATAGAAATTTACAAATACTTTACTTGATAGCATTCCTTTATTCTTATAGATATTATACATTCTTTTGGGCCAAATTATTGAGGCTTTTCTTTCCATACCCTATATGCATGTAACTCTTTTGAAATCTGTCATATCCTTTAATCAACACCTCTAAAGTCT